TCTAGCCTTCTCCCCGCTTCGCCGGCCCTCTCACCCCTCCTACCCTGGCCCAGCTTGGGAAGTGCCGGAGGAACTGTTGAACTGAACTCTTCTTAGGAAAAGATCGCCAAAGGTCCAGTCTTTTTGAACTAACTTAAGAAACAGCAGTCTGTGTAGCCACATTTCAACCTGGCCAGGGGACAGAGGATCACATATAATGTGACCTCAATGCAAAGATGCCCAGACCGCTTCGATTCTGTGCTGCGTCTACTTTAAAGCTCTTCCGGTTTTACCTTCCTTTCCTTCGGCGGTGGAAAGAGCGCTCAAGTGGTCAGCGGTCAAGAGGCCTTCCCGATGACAGTCAGCACTCCCAGCTCTGCCCATTACCAGCTGGGGGTGTTGAGCAGGTCGCTTTACCTCCCTCCAATCTGTTCCCTTTTCCATGGCCACTAGGACACTTAGTGAGACCAGGAGCGCCAGGGTGAAAGAGGAGCAGGCTCAGGGGCCCAGCCCTGGGCTATGGGCCGGGGACGCGGAGAACCAGAGCGGAGTCAGGTGGGAGAGGAACCGCTCCAGGCTCAGAATAACTTTCCCTGAGTCCTGGCCAGCTCTGCCGTCTTCTCGGGCCTCGCACCACACTGTTGTAGTCCCTACATTCAGCTAGTGCTGGCTTCAGCTTCCAGAGCACCAGGGCCACTCTCTGGAAGACGGCATGCTTTGCTGAGTTGATCCTTTCCTAGCTCATCTCCTTACCCCCTCTTCCACCCAAATCACTACCACTCACCTCCTCCGGCGTTTAATGGCCTCCAGAGTACTCGTCCCCCATCTGTGTCTCCAGCTGGGGACACCCCAGCTTATTTGGGAAACTGCAACCACCATGGCCAATGGCCCCGCCACGCCCTGTCTAGGAAGCAGAGGCCTCCCCCGGCAGCGTGTCCACTGTGCCCCTGGCCCTGCGTGAAGTGCCATCAGATGCCCCACATCCCTGCAGCAGAGCCCTCATGACTGTGCTCACAGATGAGGACACTGAGACCCAGGGAAGTCACTTGCTTGCCAAAGTCACTCAGCAAACCAGCTAGGCCTGGAGCCCCTGCAGTGGGAGCAGGAGGGCCCTGCACACATCACATGTTCTAGTGTCCAAAATCTGAGATTGCCTCCCATGAGATTACTGTCTAATCCACTGGTGACAGTCCAGCTGCTCACCTGTCCCCAGCCTCAGCTCTGGTCCCCAGGGCCTGCACACTCCTGGCAGGGCATCCTGATAATTAGTGCAGTCCTCCCCTTCTCCCTCCCCCCAGCCCCAGGGTGGGGGGGGGGTCTTTAATGCATAGCCCCTGGGAGTTCACCCTTCTCTTCCTGGTGGCCACCCCATAGGAGGTGTCCCCGTCCTATGCTCCAGCATCAGAACAAGCCCAGGATCCGTGAGTGCAGCCCCCTGTCCCTGTGCGTTTCCTCTGGTGATAGGATCCCTTCGTGCCACCAACCCACAGGGAAAACTCCCCGAGTGTCAGAAGCGGCAGCGTGGCTTCCTGTTCTTGGTTGCCGTGGTTGGGTTTTATCTGTCTGGGTGCGCCAGGACATCTGTACCACATTACTCTTTCTTGGCATCATTACACCGCCGCCTGGCTGACTCTGCTAACTTCTAGGATGGGTGTGGTCAAGAGGCTGCCTTCTTCCCACCATTTATCAATTCAGTTGCAAAAGAACCAGCACTTCCTGATGACAAGCAAAAGAAAATAAGTTAATTTAAGAATCTGGAGAATGGACATTTGGTGTGTTTTTACATGTGCTAGGAAGTTTAAGCCAAAAATAATTTGCTGAGCACCTTTTAGGTATCAAGTAGACTACCAGACCCTGTGGTAAACAGAGCAGTGAGTGAGCTGATAGACAGCCGACGTGCTGTGGATGTTGAGGCGGGGTTTCACCAGAGATGAGATTGCCGAGGTGGCCGGTGGAGCCCTGAATCCGGAGGGCTTTGAACGCTTCAGACAGCATTTGCCAGGGGATATTCATGGGTGTTATAGGGAAAGCAAGTCTATGTTCAAATAAACTTGCGCAATAGGACTTTTTAAAAAAGAGTTAATAGGTTTTTGCCTGGTTTGGGTGGGTTTTTTTCTTGCAAGACTCGCCAGCCTTTGCTATGCTAACAGGCCTTGCGAATCCCCGAAAGGAGCAAGACAGAAGACAGCGTTTCTCAGATTTGCCTGACTGGGGAACCTCCTTTTTTCCCTTCATACAATGCATCTCCCAGGATGGCGTTTCTCAGCAGACACCCTGTGAGATGCCGGCCTTCCGCTGAGATGATTTCAGCTGCCAAGTGCCAAGATTGGGTGGGCATTTTTTTTTAAGTACACTCTGGAAACAAATGTAGGCGATGGACTGGGAGGGGGAGAGGCTGGAGGCAGGGAAACCTGCTGATGGTAATGGTTGCTAATGTCTGTTGGCGGCACTGTGCAAAGAACCTGACGTCCATCATCTCGTTGAATCTTCCTAACAGCACACTCAGGTAGGCGGTGCTGTTACCTGCACTTCACAGATGAGGATAGTAAGGCTTGGAATGGTCAAATCGTGGGCCTGGAGTAACCCAGGGAGTAAATGGGAGAACTGGGGTTCTGTCTAAAACTGTCTGACCCCAGAGGCTGCCTCCTGAGCACTCTGCTGCACTGACACCCAGCAGGAATGGAAATAGCCCAGGCCTGAGGGGACAAGCAGTGAGGACAGTGGGGCGGGAGAAGATGGTTCCCCCGAAGTAGAAAGGCCGAGCATAAGAGAAGCAGTACTGGGGGGAGTGGTGTAGGAGAGCGGGGTGTCTACACAGAGGGTAGCAGCCTGTGCACCAGTGTGGGGGGCTGGGCTTCCCTCTCCCTGATCACCTCTTCCTCTTGATGAACAGTGTGAATTGAGGGGTGGGGGGCTGTTCCCCTTTACCCCACACACTTCCTGTAAGCCATGAAGGGGAAAAAGCGTGGCGACCTTGCCCATCCCTAGGCAGCACCCCCAACTCCCCGGTAGCCACCAGCTGAAGAAGGGTCACCAAGCGTGGGTTGGCCCTCATGCCCAGCTAATGGCATAGGATCTGGGAAGCCGCAGTGTCATTCTATCCCAACGTGTTCTCCATGTGCCACCAGGGAATCCTCCACCAAGTCCCTGGGCCCACTTTCCCCTCAGGCTGCCCCGACAAGTTCCGTGCAGGGCACCAGGGACCCAGGGACAACTGGGACACAGGGGAACCCTCCACCAAGTCCCTGGGCCCTCTTTCCCCTCGAGCTACCCCGAGAGGTTCCATGCAGGTCACCAGGGACCCAGGGACAACTGGGACACAGGCCCTGCCCTCTAGGAGTAGTGGGGCAGGTTCAGAAAACAAGTTCTAAGGCAGATTTGAGATCTGAAGCGTCACTCCCACTCAGTAGAGCCCTATATCAGCACTGTCCAAGGAAAGCATAATGGGAGCTTCATACAGGAGTCACATGTGGAATTCTGAATGTGAAACATAAGCAGATGAAATTGATTTTAGGATTATGAACCTAATATAGCCAAAATATTATCATTTCAACATGTAATCAATCTAAAAGTTATTACTGAGGCATCTGACATTCTTTCCTCGTGCTGAGTCTCTGAAGTCCAGTGTTTTGCATTTACAGCACATCTTTTTTTGTTTTGTTTTGAGACAGAGTCTCGCTCTGTCACCCAGGCTGGAGTGCAATGGCACGATCTCGGCTCACTGCAACCTCCGCCTTCCGGGTTCAAGCGATTCTTCCACCCCAGCCTCCCGAGTAGCTGGGATTACAGGCATGCACCATCATGCCCGGCTAATTTTTGTATTTTTGTATAGATGGGGTTTCACCATGTTGGCCAGGCTGGTCTTGAACTCCTGACCTCAGGTGGTCCGCCCGCCTCGGCCTCCCAAAGTGCTGGGATTTAGAGCACATCTTAACGTGGACCGGCCACATGGGACATTGGCTCCTGTTTTGGCTGAGGCAAGTCTGGATTGTGTCCAGTTCGATGTATCTTTGTGATGTATCTTGTTAGATGTATCAGAAAGATACGTCTAACCTGAGTGATACATTCCGACCTGAGTGATGGAATGGGCAGAAAATAACCGGAAGCCTCCTGGGGATTGCTGTGGGTCCACGGCCTGGGTCTCGCGTGAATTTTCACTTTCCTTACTCGGCCTCCCTGTGTCCCACGCATGCGAGAGCATCAAGACAGGCAGGCTGTTGAAAGGACACTGCTGGGCTTTCAAGATAAAGGGTTTGAGCGGAGAGCTGAGAAGTCTCTGCTCTACCGGTTTTGATTCAAATCCTGATTTCAGAAGCCAATCATTTTGTACAAATTGTATTTGTTCATCAGACATTTGTTGAGCAGATTTTTTTCCCCAAGTACCACAGAGCCTGCAGGCACAGGGATGAGCCCCCTTGGAGACGGACCTGTAAAAGGTTCCGTGGGCGCAGGGGTGAGGGACCACATAGCAGGAGGCACGAGGCAGCATCCGACCTGACGGGCTCTTGAAGGACAGGCACACGTTTGCCAGGCCAGTCTGGCTGGAGCAGCTCATTCCACCCGGAGGGCAGGCAGGAAACAAGGCATGGGTGAAGGCTGAGAAAGGTCTGTGTGGGGCACTGTGGGATCGTGGTCTTGGGGGACATGCAGTGCCAGCCCCGAGCCTTGAGCGGGCGCGCAAGGACAGGACAGGGCGTGAGAGGTCTGGAGAGGAGGTGGGCTGGCCCTATTGCACCTGAGAAGGGCCCCCAGCCTGTGTGGAGCATAGTGGAGGGCGGAGCTGGGGGCCCTGTTGGGAAATGATTGCAGTAACCAGGCTGGAAACAAGGCTAGAAGGAAAGAATGGGTAGGGGAGATGGCTTCAGAAGGTGGACAGTGGGGTTGAGGCGGGAGGCATCGAGGATGGCCCTCTGGCTCTGGCTCTGGCTTGGGTGACTGGGTGCCTGCCCCCAGGCCGTGTGTAGAAATGCATTGAGCCTTCTCAGTGCGTCCTGATGTTTTAAGTTTCCACTTTAATGCAGCTGCAGAGACTGCGTCCCACCCGACCGCCTCCCAAGATACAGCGCTCGAGGCCCGTGAGTAACTGGTGGTTCTGCCCTCCCCACCTAACACTGCCTGAGCCATTCTCCCCTCAGCCTGACTAAACCTCCAGAGTTTGGACCCTCCTGCCTGGCAAAAGGAAACTGGGAATTGGGTTTTTCAGCTTCCCTCTCTGTGTGGCATGAACTTGAGCTTGCATTTTCTGGGCTTCTCCCGCTTTTTTGTGAATAAGTTCGGTGATTTGCAGATCAGAGCCATAGGTAGCAAGGGGGCCACTGTGTGGTGTGTGTGCTGTGTATGCATCCTTTGAGCACGCCTCACAGGGTGAGCAAGGGGTTGAAAACCTTCCTCCATACCCCTGTTCCTCACAAAGGAAGCAGAAGTCCGGGGACAAGGGTCTCATTCCTGCCAGATCTGGGTCTGGAAATGCATTTGTACCTTCCCATGGGTAGAGGCTATGTCCAGAGAGTACGGAACCCGCTCATATGGAGACAGGTACCGCTCCCCTGCCAGGCCTTCCTTGGAGATCCACCTTCCCATGTAAAGTGCCAGGTAAGGGGAGTGGTGGTGCACACCTGTAGTCCTAGCTACTCAGGAGGCTAAGATGGGAGGATCACTTGAGCCCAGGAGGTTGAGGCTACAGTGAGCTATGATTGTGTCACTGCACTTCAGCCTGGGTGACAGAGCAAGACCCTGTCTCTTTAAAAAAAAAAAAAAAAAGCCAAGTAAGGATGGAGAAGCAGGACAACATGTGATAAAGCCACCGTCACCTGGGAATGGGGTGGGAGGCGAGAGAGATCTGTCCATGGAAAAAGATTGGGTCTGGGTCCCGTGTTAAGCATCAGTGGAGCCGTTTTCCATGGTAGGTCAGATTTCGGCCTTGCTGAGCCATGCGAACTTTGGCAGGTGCTTTGAAAGTGGGAAACCTTCCAGGACCTTTTGGTGAGGGCTGTTTACCAAGAGAAAAGTTTCTCCATCTACCATTCAGTGTGGCCACCACTCTGTGGCCAACCAGAGCGTACCCCACAACCCAGTGTCCTAGCCCTCCCACCCTCTGCAATGCACATGTTCAAATCCATCTTGTGAAGGCCAAGAGGCCGGGGCATGCAGGTGACCAGGTGGACTGTGTCTGTTCACCTGGGGAGATGCACCCAGCATCCACCAGGCAGCTGCTCTCTGGGTGGATGTTGGCCATTCTGTGGCATAGGTTTCCTTTCCTTCCTTTACCTGCTGTGGGTGGGAATTAGAGGGCTAGAGGGGAGGCCTGGGGGACTTAGATACCTTCCCCTATGACCGTCGTGAGTCCACACTCCCAGCCACATGTGACAATGGATCCATCACGTATCCCCAATCACACTGTGGTTGGCCCAAAACCCCATCGGCACAGCTGGCAAGGAGCTAGAATATGTCTGCTCACTGTCACTGGAAAGAAGACAGAAGCAGCAACAAGAAACTGCTTTGGGGGACAGGAGGCCCCTTCTAAGCAACCTTGTGTGACTAGTGAGAGTTTCAGTATAGTCCTTAACAGCACGGATTTGGGAGGCCGACAGAGCTAGGCTTGAATGCTAAAGTCGTGTGACTCTGGCAAGCACTGAGGCTCTCTGAGTCTGATTTCACCTCCGGGGCTGTGCCCTCATTCCTAGAGGGGTTTCATGAGAAGGAAAGTGGATGACATTTGTAGAACACACACAGTAACAGTTCTTATTTTTATTTTTATTTTTTTCTTTGAGACGGAGTCTCACCCCGTCGCCCAGGCTGGAGTGCAGTGGCGCGATCTTGGCTTATTCACACCATTCTCCTGCCTCAGCCTCCCAAGTAGCTGGGACTACAGGTGCCCGCCACCACGTCCAGCTAATCTTTTTGTATTTTTAGTAGAGACGGGGTTTCACCGTATTAGCCAGGATGGTCTCGATCTCCTGACCTTGTGATCCGCCCGCCTCGGCCTCCCAAAGTGCTGACATTACAGGTGTGAACCACCATGCCTGGACAACAGTTCTTATTCTTAACAGGTTTTTGCACCTTACAGCTTCTAAGGAACGGCCCAGTTTATTAATAACCATCACTTGCCTAGGATTTTATAGTCAGCAAATCATTCTTAGGTACCTCATCCCAGCTGCGCCTCACAGTAGCTCAGTGAAGTAGGCACTGTCACCACCCTGTTTAGCAATGAGCAAACTGATGCTTCGTAACTTAACCCAGGTTCCTCAACTGCAAATAAGGTCATCTGGACTCTAGAACCTGTAGTCTTGCCAGTATTCCAAGCTCTCTGGACCCTCCGTCTTCTGCTTGGGACCAGAAGAGTTTCAGCTTTCGGTTTGTTTCGGATTTTAGAATATTTGCATGATACTTCCTGGTCGTGTGCCCCTAATCCAAAATCCAGAATCCTCCAGTGAGCGTTTCCTTTAGCATCATGTTGGGGCTCAAGAAGTCTTGGATTTTGGCGTGTTTCAGATCTCTGCTTTTCAGATTAGGGATGCTCAACCTATATAAAATGCTGGGAGAAGGAAAAAAAAATTCAGTCAAGAAAAAAAGTAATGAGTAGCGGCTGAACTGTCTGCGGAATCTCCAGTGCCATGTTAGGTCTGGCAGAGACACAGAGGAGAAGAGAATTAATATTCATTGAGCATCTTTTCTGGTGCCTAGGACTGTGCTGGGCACTTGTGTCATTACTGTCTCATTTGTCCAGCCCAGAGCAGGCAGATGCCATCTCCCTAATTTGTAGCCAACACCACAGGGATGATGACAGGCCTGATGATAAGTCCTGCCTTTGAGCCCAGCTTGCCTCTCTCCACTGTCTCTTTGTTTTCTACCAAACAGCCTCCCCTTAAGCCAAAGTCAACAGCAGGTAGCTCTCAGTGTTCCCCTTTGAGGCTTGGCATCCAAGGTGGGCACAGAATCTTGAAAGTCATGATTCAGGCCGGGCGCGGTGGCTCAAGCCTGTAATCCCAGCACTTTGGGAGGCCGAGACGGGCGGATCACGAGGTCAGGAGATCGAGACCATCCTGGCTAACACGGTGAAACCCCGTCTCTACTAAAAAAATACAAAAAACTAGCCGGGCGAGGTGGCGGCGCCTGTAGTCCCAGCTACTTGGGAGGCTGAGGCAGGAGAATGGCGTAAACCCGGGAGGTGGAGCTTGCAGTGAGCTGAGATCCGGCCACTGCACTCCAGCCTAGGGACAGAGCGAGACTCCGTCTCAAAAAAAATAAATAAATAAAAAAGAAAGTCATGATTCAGGGAAGGATCACTCCCCTTGGAAGAGTTCAAGTATTGGAGACAGCAACAGTGGACTCTGTGTTTTCTCACCGGTGTGAGGATCTGTGCAGATTTGGGGGTGGGCCGCCACATCCATTGGCAACCGAGGACTCGGGAGACAGACGCTGTGAGAGACACTGAGTAGCAGCTGCCTCAGGCTCTGAGCTAATGCAGGAGGTGACTAGCCTGGTGCTAGCTTTGGCCGAACCTCCTGGATTGATGGCATGCCGAATAGGCGGGATGCCTAAGAGAACGAGCTCTCCTAGCCTTGGAAGTCAGAGAGGCCTGCCCTGGTTTGAATTACAGCTTGGCCACTTCCTGGCTGTGCGACCTTAGGCAGGATCCTCACCTTCTCTGAGCCTTAGTTTCATCATCTGTAAAATGGGTTTAACAATAGAGGTTGTGTATGTATAGCGCCTAGCACGGTCCCTGGCGTGTCCCCCGAACTTATTCTGCCAAGCGGCAGCACTAAGAGACCAATTTGGGAGTCACAGAAGGTTTATGCTTTCTGGGCCCCTAAGGACCATTTACTCTACGTGCATTTATGCAAGCATTTCCAGTGGACCCTGCTACAGACTAGGTGGGAACCAGGGAGACTCAGCATATAGAACCCCCTGAGGGCCTCGAAGAGGACAGTCTACCAAGCTTCCGTGTCAGGAGCCATCAGCCTCCAGTGTGGCTTTGCTGGGTCACGTAGCCACAAACGTTCGGGACAGAAGTGCAGCCGTTGGCCCGGGGTAGCAGGGGCGGGGGAGGCTCTAGCCATTCAGCCTTTCTGGAAGGAGCTTTGTAGCCTGGCACCTGTGGCTGGAGTTCAGATGTTACCCGAGGATTTGGGCTTTCTTTTTAAAAACAAGAAAAAGGAAAGAGCAGAAGAAAACCATGCCAGCGCCTCCTGGACGAAGGGAGAGGCAGACTGCCGTCGGCCTGCGTGTGAAGCGCTTTATAAGCTCTGTATTTATTATTTCTTGCTCACCATTAAAATCAAATGTACTCAGTGCTTTTGTATTCAATACACATTTAACCCTGCCGACTTAAGATTTCTCAGGTTTTAAATCCAGTGGGGAATTGGCTGGCTTCCCAAGTTTCCCCTCCAGTCCCCCTTGAACAGAGCTGGAAATCTCTGTTTAGCATTTTCTCCCCTGGCGCGGCTGGGATCCTCACACTGGTGGGGCCAGTCACTGTTGTGTGTGCCTGTGGGTTTCTTCCTTCATCCCCCATACCCACCCTTCCTAAGCACCCCAGAAAGATGGGTGTGATGGCTGAAATATGACAAGACTTGTCTGCATAGTCGGTGATTCAGGCTTCATTAATAAACCGTTTTGTCTGTATGTGTCTGTGCCTGGTTGTGGCCCGCCGCCATGCACGTGCGAGGGTGCGTGTGCGTGAGTGTGTGATTCATACATGTGCCTTCACCTCTTGCGCGTGCCTCTGTGAGTGTGTATTTCTGAGATAGTGTTTACATGGAAGTCTGGAGGCCTCAATATATCTCGGGATGGTCATGTCTGTGAGTGTAATTTTGTGTCTGGCTTGTCCACACCAGTCAGGTGTGTGTAACTCTGGGTAGGTCAGCAGCTGTGCTGGTGACCAACCGCCTCTGGGTCTGGCGTGTCTTTCTCTCCCTCCCCAGCCTCCGCGGCTCCGGCTCTGTGCTCCCCACCCCCGCCCCTCCCCCACTGCTCTGTCTGTTTTATCATCCCTAATGAAGCAGTCTCCTCCACCGATCCTGCTGATTGCCAACCCATTCCTTTTGTTTGTTGGCGCTGAGCCATTCAGCGGCACTCTGACAGCTCAGCTCGTCTAATTAGCTCTGTTGTTCTTTTTCCCCATGTTTCACCACGTTGCAAGTTCAGTTGAAGTTGCCACAAACTTAATCCCCCCATTTCAGCCACAAGTTCACATTCTTAACCCGCCTTTATTGTAGCAAGGAGCAGCCCTGTGCAAGGACGAGCTGACAGGCCTTAAAGTCTGACCTTTCCTGAAAGCTCTGCCCCCCGGGGCCCCCCGGGGCAGGGGCAGAACTGCTCCTTCACCCTACCCACACTCCCGCCTTTTGTGGGGAGAAGTTGGGGGTGGGGATCATTCCAGCCAGGTGACCCTGTTGACCAGCTGCCAGAGCTGGGGAAACCAGTTCAGAGTTAGAAGAGGTGCGGGGATATCCACTTGTTTATTCAGCACATGTTGCCTGAATGTGAGCTGTGTGGCAGGCACAGTTCTAATCACGATGATACTAGCAACGTCATTATGCACTTCTCAGATTCCAAGCAGCAACGTTCACTTGTTTCTAAAAATCTTGCTGAGCGACCATGACACCCAAGGCAGTCCACAGAATGTGAGGCAGGGATAAGAGAATCCTAAAACTCATCTTCTAACTCAGAGACACCTACTCTTCGTCTTCCTTTTGTTGTTGACAAGAAGGGACATCCAGGTCACAGAGGAGCAGGATGAACATTTATTGAGCCCCCACTGTGTACCAGACCCCATGCGGGGACTTTCCCTGTATCTGGTCTTCACAATCACCCCATAGACGAAGACAGCCAGTTTGGTGGAATGCATTTGGCGTTTACCACATCCCTGATCTGCCAAACCAGTCTGAGATCAGACTGGCCACTCCACAGGAAAAACTTTGGTTAGATCACACGTGCACAGACCTGAGGGCTTGCTGAGACTCCATAAAAACTTGTCTTTTATGCAGCCAGCTTCTGTCATCTGTGTTCCTAAGCCATTGTGCCGTGTCACCCACAAGCTTCTGGGGGGGAGGTGTGATGTTCAGGAGAAAGGGCGGGCAGGAAATGGAGTGTGTGCCTGCTCTCCTTCCCTGTCTTGTCCTGGAAACTCAGCAGCTGTGGCATCCCATCCGTGGAGAAAGCAAGCCCCCTGCCCCGGCAGGCTTGGTTGTTTTTATCGGCAATGAAATTCAGAGATAGACTTTCTCAGCTTAGCTCTCAACCCATCCCTTTCAGGCACTGGGAGTATACAGAGATGGCCGTGCCAAATTAAAGCCGTGGAATGTCAATTGGACCAAATGAGTATACTTCTAAGGGCACCTACAAATTCTCAGCCTAACATCCATCACGGGCTCTGGCAGGGGATGAGGGTGCCTTTCTCTGTGGGCCCTCATCTTGGTTTTCAGAGGCAGTAGGTAGGAAAAACCCATCCCGCTGTTGCAGCAGCAGCTGTGGAGTTAGGAAGCTGGGTCCTTCCTGATGTGCCCACTGGAGACCCTCCCACTAGGTCTGCTCAGTGCATGTAGCTACGCAAGATGGGCAGCATCCAGGCTGAACCCTGCTGGGAGGACCGGCACGGGGATGCCCTGGGAAACAGAAAGACGATTTGTAGTGGCACTCTCTCATGCCTCTCTTATTTAGAGAGGAAAATAAGCACCCTGTGATTCTGTTGTAAAAAGAGCAAACTAAGCATGTGCACCCTGAAAACAAGTGTGAGCACAACCTTTTCTTTCTACAAAACCAGCTTCTGGGCGTCAGAGGAAGATGAGAGGGAATTGTCATTGATAAGGGCCTCTTGGTTCTGGGTCCTATGTAGACATCATCTCATTGGACCCTCACTGCAGCCCTGCAAGGAGGCCAGTGGAACTATCCTCATCTTGCAGATGAAGAAACCGAGCTTTCCAGGAGCACCTTTCTGATTTAAATAGGCCACAGAATTCCAGTTAATGTGTCTATCTGCTGCCTATTAGATGGTGATGCGTCTGTGATAGGCTGGGCTATTGTAGCCTGTAGCTTTGAAATTTCCTAAACATTTTTGGGGGGTGGGGGCGTTTATCCAAATCTTCAGAATGTTCCTGGATGGCTTTTCCAACTCACTCCTTCTTGGGGTCTCCCCCTGTACTCCTCTAGGTGCGCCCACCTCGTCCTCATGTTGTTAAGAGACCAAAGAGCAACATCACAGTGGAAGGCCGGAGGACGTCTGTGCCGAGCCCTGAGCAGTGAGTATCGCGCCTCTCCCCTCTGTCTGCAAGAACCCTCTGTCTGCGGGGCCAGCACTTTGTGGAGCTCCAGCGTGTAGCCCTGGCCTTTATGAGGCTTCCCCGGGGCCCCCAGTGGGTGTTTCACAAAGGGGTCATTCAGCGAACAAGGCTTGATCTCTTACTCGGTCTGGTTGTCACACCAGCGGGAGGCCCCAGAGGCCAGGGAGCCAGGCACTTGGGCTGGATTTCGAGTGGTGGGGTCCAAAGCGTACTTGGCTGGGTTCAGAAGAAGGTCCTAGGCCTCTTGTGCTGAACATACCGAGTCAGTAGGTGAGGGTTAGAACCTGGTGAAGGAGGCCAAGTGTTAAACTGGGTCCACCCACCTTCCTAGGCCTCCATGGCCGAGATCTGTACACAGGACTGCCCTTATCCACTGCCCCAGCCCCACCAGGACCCTTTGCCCACCTGTGCTGGAGCATTTATGTTACTGTGGTTTTCCTTTTTTTTTTTTTTTTTTTTTTTTGAGATGGAGTCTTGCTCTGTTGCCCAGGCTGGAGTGCAGTGGCCGGATCTCAGCTCACTGCAAGCTCCGCCTCCCGGGTTCACGCCATTCTCCTGCCTCAGCCTGCCAAGTAGCTGGGACTACAGGCGCCCGCCACCTCGCCCGGCTAGTTTTTTTGTATTTTTTTGTAGAGACGGGGTTTCACTGTGTTAGCCAGGATGGTCTCGATCTCCTGACCTCGTGATCCGCCCGTCTCGGCCTCCCAAAGTGCTGGGATTACAGGCTTGAGCCACCGCGCCCGCCCGGCCCACTATGGTTTTTCTTACACATCTCCCTGAGATGCCGCGCTCCCTGGGTGTTATGCCCGGCACTTCCCGTAGGACTGGCCTAGAGTCACCCGCCCAGGAGGCGTGGGGTAGATGAGGTGAATGAGGGAGGCAGAAAGACAAGCAGTGGCCTGAGGTGGAGCTGCCTGTGGGGGGCGAGGCAGAAGGCTGCAGACAGCCCCGAGTCCAGACCAGAGCCGTCTGCAGAAGGTAGTGCTGCTTCCCTTTGTCCGCAAGGCGCACAGCCCTCGGTCTCTATCCAGACAACTCAGTGACTACACCCTGGCTTCCTGTGATACCTTGAAAAAGTGCATGAGTTCATCTTGGTCTAGGATTGTTGGAGGAGTCAGAAAAATTACCCCAGGGATCCTGAAGTCATTGGGGTGGAAAGGGGAAGGCCCCCGTGTCTGGCTGGCTCTCAGAAAATGTCTCAGGGAAAGAAGGTAAGGGACATGGCAGGTCCTAGACAGAATTGGAGTGAGAAGGGGGAAAAATGATTTCAAACTGTCAAGCTGGGGTGTAACCCAAGTTCCAGTTCACTTCAGCTCCCTGGGATTCTCTGGTTAATAGTAAGGGGAAGGAATCAGCCCACCCAGACAGCCCTCAGACTTTGCCCAGAACGTCCTGGAATTATGTGTGCATGTGTGTGTGTGTGTGTGCACGTGCTTGCACACAAGGATGCTAAGTTATGAGAAATTTGGAAGAGAGGACTCCTGAAGTTGGATTAAGTTTAACTTTTGCTCTGCACAATAGCCTGGTGGGAACATTGAGGGATGGATTATGATTGCCCCCTTGTGGAGAGAATGCTGCATGGCACCTGAGTGCCTCCGACTACAGATTCTTCCTTAAGGGGATGAAATTTGTCACATTTCTTTAAAGTCACACCTTTAAAACTGGACTAAGCCTTTTAGACACTGTACCAGGATACAAGGTCACAGGCCTGTTGATACTGAGATGTAAACCCAGAATATTCTCGCATTACACAGAAACACCATTGCAACACCAGCTACACTCCACATCCTACAGAAAAGCATTACCCATCTTGTGGCTAAGTTCCCGATGAGAGGCTGGACCTCTTCATCACATTGACTTACGCCGTTGCCTTTCCAGACTGGGCAGAGGGGCTGACTCCGCAGTGTGTGCCAAACAGCCAGTGTCTGATGATCCCGTTTTCCTGCTTATCACCTGAGCCGTGTCAGTATCACTTTCGGGTTTGTTGGTTGGTTAGTTGTTTCAATATGCCCTGTTTTCTACTTCTGTTGGGAAATATTTGGAGTTGAAATAAACCAGTGGGAGCTTGGGAGCCAGTTTGGTGGTTGACAAACTAACAGTGATAGAAAACAAATGACAGGTTTTCTGTGAGCATATGTCACAGCGGCTCGGGCCCACAAGGAGATAGAGGGGTACGTTTCAGGACATCATTCCAAGGGTTTCTGTTCAAGTGTGTTTAACGAGGAAGGGGAGGTTGTTCTCCCATAATGCCAGTGGCATTTCTGGTGCAACCCGGGTGTTTTTCTACGCCTCTTCCCATGCTGCCTCCCCACCCCCCCACTGTGCTCCGCCCCTTCCAAATGCCATGTCACAACAGCACTTGGATGTGTTTTTCTCAACTGTCATCAGCTCCAGCTGGCAGGACCAACTTCTTGAAACACAGGAAGCATCCAGCGGAAAATATTTTAATAAAACAGACTCCTCATAAAATATTGTTCGGGGGAGGGGGGAAGAAACCGACTCCACCAATCTGTCGGCATTGTATTGGGAGATGTGAGAAGCCAGGCCGGCAGCAGGGGCCCGATCCTAATGGGCCTTTGTTGGGTGGTGGTTCCGTGTTGGGCACACAGACTCGGTGCCTGGCCCTTTAATCTGGCCTGGGTTTTCTTGAATCACAGATCTTCATCTCCACTGGGAATATCAAAGTGCTTGGGAAACTTAGAGGACCAGGGCGGCAGAAGGGGATGCAGGATCTTTGAAGTGGAGGGAAGAGATCCATTCCTCCTGACTTATTGCCCCAACTCTCACTTCCAATTGCACATTAAATAATCCCAGCACTTTGGGAGGCCAAAACGGGCGGATCACCTGAGGTCAGGGGTTCGAGACCAACCCCGTCTCTACTAAAAGTACAAAAATTAGCCGAGTGTGGTGGTGCACCCCTGTAATTCCAGCTACTCGGGAGGCTGAGGCACAAGAATCACTTGAACTGAGGAGGCGGAGGCTGCCGTGAACTGAGATCATACCACAGCACTCCAGCCTGTGCAACAGAGACTCTGTCTCAAAAATAAAATAACCAGCTCTATGGACAGCAAGATGGCGCTGATTGAGAGCAAGATTGTCTCCTGGAATAGCTGACTCTCTGGCCAGTCCACCCGTGAAGTTCATTTCTTCCTTCTCAGCGGATGTCCATCCCTCCGTCGTTCCATCTATCCATTCATGCATTCATTCATTCAGCAAGTAACTTTGAAAACCTACTAGGCACAAGCACGTAATATTTTTTTTAAAGGAGGCCTTAAAAGGGAGTTCCCATGCTGACCCTTGGTTGACTTGAATTTTCCCAAAATGAAATTTTCCTGTGTCAAATTTTCTTTCTGAATCAACGGTAAGTTTCCTAGCCCCTTAAAACTGGCCGTTGACAATTGGAAGAAGACTTCAAAAAGATTTCCGGGGGAAACATTCCCTCTACTTTTCAGGTGACATTCCTTGGTTAATATTCAGTTACTAAATCTCTTCAAGAAGTACTGGCTACTTCCATTACTATTCAGAGCACAACTAGCTGATGGGATGCCCGGGGCTTCCCTGGGGCAGGGATCAGGGTAGGAGGGATCCTGCAGGAGAGGCTGTGGGTTAGACACCAGTCAGCAGGGGGTACAGTGGAGCACCCATTGATTTCTAGGCCCTCTTGGGCTAGCATCGTTTCTTCCAGAGTGGGAGTTCAGGCTCAGAACGTGGATTTGACCAGTCTTCCCAAGGTCACCCAGTTGAAAAGTGACCGGGCCAGCATTCACAATTCTTGATTTCATTCTCTCTATGACACTCTTGATGCTGTCCTTGGAACGGGGCCCTTGAGGGTCCGTCTTTAGGCTGGCTTTGCCCAGAGAGAGCTCCACATCCTAAAATGAGATGGCCTGTCTAGCAGGCCACCCTTCCTCTCTGGTTCCCTGAAGGCTGGAGTTCAGTCTGAACTGGATCTGTTCAGTCTTCTTACCACCAAAGAAACCATGTGCGCTCGTGCCTGACTGTTTCTTCTTGGGGAAGGAAAGAGAAATGACATTTACCAAACATCCCTTAAGATTGTCAAAGGTATTAGCTGGGCATGATGCCGTGTGCCTGTGGTCCCAGCTAGTTGGGAGGCTGAGGCATGAGAGTCGCTTGACCCCTGGGGAGTTGAAGGTTGCAGGGAGCTGAGATCATGACACTGCAGTCCACCCTGGGCCTCAGAGTGAGACCCTATCTCAAAAAATAAAATAAAAAAGATTGTCAGAGGTAGGTGGTAGCTTTCCCATTGAACAGACAGAAAAATTGAGGCTCAGAGAGACTTTCAGTAACTTGCCCAAGGTTTCTCGGGGCCAGAAAATGGTAGGATCGGCTGTCTGATGACAGAGGCCTCATCCATTCTTCTCTACTATCCAGGCTTTCTGTTAAGACCTAAGTATCCTCATGTGCTTCTCTGACTAGTAGGGATGATGGCTGTGGCAGTGAGGTTCACAGCTTCCCTCCTATTAAAAGTGGGCCATGGCCAGGTGCGGTGGCTCACGCCTGTAATCCCAGCACCTTGGGAGGCTGAGGAGGGTGGATCCCTTGAGGTCAGGAGTTCAAGACCAGCCTGGCCAATATGGTGAAACCCCATCTCTACTAAAAATACAATTAGCTGGGTGTGGTGACACATGCTTGTAATCCCAGTTACTAGGGAGGCTGAGGCAGGAGAATCGCTTGAACCCAGAAGGTGGAGCTTGCAGTGAGCTGAGATCACACCACTGCACTCCAGCCTGAGTAACAGGACAAGACTCTGTCTCAAAAAAAAAAAAACAGAAATAAAACAGGCTGTGGTGGTTTCTGCGGGCTGTGCACGGCTGCCAGGCCCCAAGTTATTTTCCTTTTGGCCTGCCAGATATAGGGGAATTGCCCGTCCAACTAGGTGCTTGGAAAGAGCCAATGGCAGGCTCTGAAAGGCAGCGTTGTGGTCTGAGCTGCTGGGC